AAATTCTATATTAGGCACGTGTATGTGTTTTTTTGTTGTGACTTTTTGTATCTTGCGTTATGAAATTCTATATCAAGTATGAATTTTGTACGTGGAACAAATTAGTAATTATGTCTTATATTATAAAATTATGTGTCTTGTGTCATAAAATTTTGTGCCTATGAACACGAGTTATATACCTAAATCATATTTGAAAAATAAGTAAATATATAACATGTGTATGTGTTATGTGTTATGATTTTGTGTGTCTTATGTTATGAAATTCTGTATATTACGAGTATGAATTTTGTACATCGTCTTTTCAATTTAGTTGGGTCCATAATAATATGTTATGTATTTTGTGTTGTAATTTTTTGTGTTTTGTACTCTACTAGTATGAATTCTATACGTTGTTGTTTTAATTCAAGTTTCATAATGCTATGTAAACTCTTATCCATGATATAAATTGCCGCCAACATTCATTTCCGCCCAAATAAACCAAGATATTTTGGGCAAATTATACTGTGGACCGCGATCCACAATGCATTGTGATCCAAGCTTCAAAATAGTGCCGTTTCATTTAATGAAAAGAAACGGCACCTGATTTGCGTTGTTCCGCATAAGTAGCATCTGCTTCTATAACATTTTCAGTTTCATTTTATATACACTAAAATTTCATTCCAACACAACTACAATTTTATTTCGATATAACTAGAGTTTCATTCTAGACTATATACTCAAATATGTGAAACTGTTATTTAATTTCATTTTATATACACTACAGTTTCATTACAACACAACTACATTATCATTTCAATATAACTACAGTTTCATTGGACAATATACACTAAAATATGTGAAACAGTTATGCAGTTTCATTTCAACACAAGTGCAATTTAATTTCGATATAACTACAGTTTCATTCGACACTATACACTTAAATATGTGAAACTGTTATTTAGTTACATTATATATATATACACTATAGTTTAATTACAACACAACTACAATATCATTTCGATGTAACTACAGTTTCATTTTATATACACTGTAGTTTCATTTTGATACAACTACAGTATCATTTAAATTCAATTACAGTTTAATTTCATAATATAAAAACAATATGTGAGACCGTTTCATTTTAAATATATTGTAGTTTCATTTTGTAATTAACATATTAAAAATATGCGTTCCGTTAAGATGTAAGTCATGTAACGGCACACGTTTTTTTAAATAAAGAAACGACGCTATTTTTGGATCATAGTCCACGATATAATTGCTTGCTATTTTGCAATCATTATTGTATGGACCATGGTCCACACAAGTTGTGAGGACCATATTTTGTCTACGGTAAAATAATGTACACTCAGTATAAAAATAATGTACATTAAGTACAAAAATAATGTACATTGTATTCAGGGGATGTACATTATTTTTGTTCTGAGTGTACATTATATTGTTTAATGTACATTCAGTACAAACATTATGTACATTTAGTATATTAAAAATGTACTTTTTGTTATGGTCCACATAACATTGTATGGACCATGGTCCACACAATAATTTGCCGCTATTTTGTAAGTGGGCTTTTAAATGGTCTATAAGCCCATTATTATTACTGTCTTTGCCCTGTTAATGGACGAAATTTAGGCCTACATTCATTCCCGCCCAAATAAACCAAGATTTTTTTGTGAGTGGACTTTTAATGGGCTTGTAGCCCATTATTATTTCTAGTTTTGCCCCGACGACCAAAACCCTAAGGACTTCTGAGGTGCCATCCTATATATAAATCAAATACAGGCCGAGAAGAAACCCTACTGAAACACTTCTGAGTTGTGTCGTTCCATCCTGGTCAGCGGCGCCCTCTCAACGCTTCTCCCTGCAGAGGTGCCAGCAATTGCAGCAATGGCGACGGCGAGAACTGTGAAAGACGTTTCTCCTCACGAGTTCGTGAAGGCTTACTCTGCTCACCTTAAGCGTTCTGGAAAGGTACCATTTTTTCCCCTAATCTCTGTCTAGATCTTTGAATGTTAGTCCTTTACTTGTATTTTTCGATTCCTGCTTTAGATTTTAGTATGGAGTAGCAGTTTAATGAAGGTATATGCATTAATACTTAGTTATGGCATCAGTTAATACTCCTTTGCCTGTTTAAAGTTACGGTGGAGGCTCTTTTCTATGTTTTCTGCTTCACAGAATTATCTATCAGCTTGTTAACATGTTTGAAACTTGAAATTGATAGACATGAATGATTGGTGCTTGTAGTGAACTTAATGTGCAAGTGCAGGACACTAATTTAGCTCTGGGAAATTGGTAAACTTGGTTTTGGTGTTAGGTTTGGTGGTACTATGTAGCAATTAATGGTGTGGTTTGGTCTTGTAAAATTTGTTTACAGTGTCCTTAGTCATATTTATATTTTTGTTTGGGTCATAAGATCTTTGACTGAAATAGGTATCAAGTTAGGATGCTACATATTAAAAAGTAGTTCTGCTCGCAGATCAAATTTTGATATATGTTGTGTGAGATTTTCATGAAACTATGATACAGATTGTGAAATTGTGTCACAAGTGGGCTTGGATGATTCTTGTGATTCACAGTTAACTGAAATTTCTTTTACTTTAATGTAGATGGAACTTCCCGAGTGGACTGATATTGTGAAGACTGGTAGGTTGAAAGAACTTGCTCCATATGACCCTGATTGGTATTACATCAGAGCAGGTAATAATTTCCTCTTTACCCATGAATTTCATCTTGGTGATTCACGTATTTTATCTACCGTTCTGACTATCAGTTTTTCAGCTTCCATGGCTAGGAAGATTTACTTGAGGGGTGGCCTTGGAGTTGGAGCCTTCCAAAGGATCTATGGATCAAACAAGAGAAATGGAAGCTGCCCACGCCACTTTTGCAAGAGCAGTGGTGCTATTGCCCGCCACATTTTGCAACAATTGCAGACAATGAGTATCATTGAAGTTGATCCAAGAGGGTATGTTTGAGACCTCTTTCAATGTCCCTTTTTTTTTCCAGAATTTCAGAGATATGAATGAAGATTGATGTTTGTGTTATATAGAACTGTATAGCATTGAATTTGTGGTTTCTTTCGGTAATCATTGTTCTTATATTTCAGTGGAAGGAGGATAACATCCAGTGGCCAACGCGATCTTGATCAAGTTGCTGGCCGAATTGTTGTTGTTGCACCTTGAAGGACAGTAGTGATTGCACGGCAGAAGCAAGATATATGTGATGTTTGAACTACTGTTATAATTAGCTTGTTCCAGAGATGTTACTTCCAAAATTTTGAGACAATTCTTACTTTCAAATACTTGGGTAGCTTCCTTGTGTTTCATCCAAAATGTTTGTGTTGTTGAAGTTTGAATATTAATCTTATCAGGTTCTGAGAATTGACATTGTTATATCATTTATGCCTTTTACAGATTGATTCCATCCATTTCTATATCATGCATGAAATCTCTTTTCATTCAGCCAACTCTAAGCATGCTTCTCTGAAATTTGTATACATTATTATTGCTTCATGATCGTGGTGAAATCCTTTCTGTTGTATTCATTGTAGTAAACAGCATTTTAATACTGTCAATATACAAGTATTTGAATCTTATGAACAATATACATATTTAGTTCTTCGGTTATGTGTGACCATCATATAAAGACTTCTGTTGCTGGGATGTTCTATTTGGCATTCTTTATTCAAAAATCATAATTTATTTCAGTTTTGTGCACATATACAGCAGTTCTGTAAGTTCCAAAATGGTTCACTAGAATCCATCACAAAGCAAAGGAAAGCCCTATAGATTCCCTATTTTGATTCACTGTGCTATACGTTTCATCACTTTCAATTACTCACACACTTTTCCTTTTTCTAATTTGTTACTATTTTAATAGATGGGAAAATATTTTAATATTTTACAATTTACAAACATTTTCAGCTTCTTTAGTTGAGAATTCATGAAAAGATTCAAGCATATGGGACACACATTCTCAGTGGTCATCACACATTTGTTAAACATTATTACTCTATTCTGTCTTTCCTCCTTCGTTCACTTGGGATGTATTTTTGAAAACAATGAAATTAATGAGAAAACAATAACCAGCAGTTGGAGGAAACTGAGATGAATATGATGCAGTTGGAAACTGGGATGGTTGTGTTTGTCACTTCGTCACACTCACTCAAGTTTTTCCTTCTTTCACTTCGTCACACTCACTTTTTCTTTCGTTATGGCTAAGTTACACTTGTAAACGTAATAATAAATTTGAGAAAATTTTGAAAAAAATCAGAAGAAAAAAAAAAGACAGGATTTTATAGACTTGCACAAACTATAGATTCACACAAAATTTGATTTTGCTAACTATAGATTCACACAAAATGATGTACAAGTAAATTCCCAAAATTCACCATTATCACAATATATTCATCAACACCTTAAGAGATAAATGTGAAAGCAACTTTAAAAAAGTATTATCTAATACTCTTGATTCAATTGTTGCTGATATCCATTGTTTGGTGTAGAAAATGGAAAAAGAAAATAGGTGTAAAAAAATTAAAAAAAATGTATTAATAGAAGTTATAAATGTTTGTAATGATATATTTAATTTAGAGTTTTTAATATCAAAATGTTTTTAAAAGTGTATAAATATTTGTCACACAGAATTTTATAGACTTGTACAAAGCCTATGAAAATTTTAAAAATTTTGAGTTTGGAAAAATTCTATATAAAAGTCATTTAAAAGTCTTAATTGAATACATCCCTTAGACACAGAAGTTTGATAAGTTTTTGATCTTAGTTATTTTAAAACACCAATTCACCATACATTTTCTTGTGAGATTGATATCTACAAAAAGCCAATATGCATCTATAACTACCATTTTATAATTTATATATAGTATAGTAATATGAAGCAGAAGTGAAGTGTTCACAGAATGCTGGAGCCTAAAGAATAGAGAAGTGAATCTAACACTAAATAATATATGAATTGCAATGTGCATTATTATTGGTAAAAGGGCAAAATCGTGGTAGTAAAAGAATTCATCCATTAATGAAAAGGCACACCATTGTGCACATACTATGTTTTCTCTCAAAGCTGTGTAAGTGTACTCTACATATACTATGTTTTCTCTCAAAGCTGTGTGATTAGCAACAAGCTTATTACCTGTTTACACAGTAAAAGAACATTGATAGTAGTAGCTGCTAAGGTTCTTTGAAACTGCAGTCTTCCTCTTTCTTCCCTCTCATCGCCCAAACATTTCATCGCAGCTTTTGATCTTCTTATGCTGTGTAATACGGAATTTCGGCTCTCTTGGCACAGTGAGATGCTTGTCAGACCTAACAAAGCAGGAGATGTTGGAATGATACCTTGTTATATGGAAAGCTAGCCATTCCGTACAAGTCAGGAAAAGATAAATAAAACGTGATTTCACCTTCTAGGAATGAAGGGCCTGTCAAAGTAGGGTAGTGGTTGGGCTTTGGGAACAAGTTCCTTTCTCAGCCTTCTGATTTCTTCTTCTTCTTCCAACTAAGAGGGTGATAGAAACATAAACCAAACTAGAAATATGAACGAAAATCTCATCCGATTTATAAGGTTTCTGATGATTTACCTTCTGTAGTCTGTCTCTTTCCATTTTGTATTGTTCGATAATGCTAAATTTCTCAGCCACCTAATATGTAAAACAAAGAACTTACAGACCAGTTCCACCATGAAAAATACACAGAAAAGCAGTTCTAAATTAATGACCACAATTCTGTTAAGAAGAAAGCAATTACCTGATGGTCGAACTCTGCTCGATCCACAGCCCTGATGTCACTGTGCAGCACCAGATCAATTGGCCTTGTGCTTTCTTTCACGGGAGGCTTCAGTAAACACTGAAAACAAAAGAAACCTTTTGAAGTCAGCTGACCTTTAACTGCAGATCAGAAGTTATAGAAGTACTTATTGGAAGCAAAGAAGCAGGATGGCAAGACGTGTGACAAATAATTTGAAATCCGTGAGCTCTTAAAGTTAAATATATATGGTCAGGGCAGGAGGAATACTAGTGATGTATATAGAACACAACAATGTGGAACAAAAAAGTGAATTGATATCAACAGGGTTCCATAACTCGTAACTTCACTACCCAATATAGAAGCACAAAGAAACAGTTGTTCACAAATCACAATTAAATGAATCTCACAGATAATAATTTATATTCAACCTACTAAAATATGAATCTACCTCTGGCTCATCCGTTGTCCACGGAAGACCTTGTGCAATTGGAACTCGAAGCCTCTTATCTTCCTCCATCATCTGTTTTAGTTTATTCAGAAATTCTTCCTCCTTACACTTTCCCCTTTGCTGCAGAAAAGTCAAACACCAAACTTAAAAGTTGCTTTGATGAGCAGCAAATAAGCATCACATTGTAATTCTCAGCCTCATGGTTTAATCTTAAACATAGAGCATAGGATTAGAAACTTAAACAGAAGACCTAAGACAACTCTAATGCCAGCACTAGTAAAGTTCACTTTCCTATTCAGTCAGTACCGTAAATATTAGTCTACGATATTACTCTAAGCACATAGCAGCATCACTGTGAAACTATCAGCTAAGTTATACCAACCTCAGTTCTGAGATTGAATGGTTTATGGGAGGTTGCTTTGAGTTGCCTTCTCTTCTGGTGCCTTCTAGCAAAAGTCCCCGATGATTCAGCACTCTAAAGAATTTAAAATAAAAGTGAGATCACATATTCACATATGAAGCCATAAGCCCTCTGCATTCAAAGAGGAGGGTAACCACAAAATTCTTAGTAACTCACATTGCGTCTGCTCTTTCTACCTCCATCACAAGTCCTGCTTGAGTTTGAAAAAGCCATAGCCAATACATCCCATTAGAACTAAAATTAAGAGAAGTTGAATACTGAGAACCAAGCAAGTAGACATCACTAACCTTCCTTGGTTGCTATCAAGTGAATGGGAACGGTGTGAATTCAGGCCTAAGCTTTCAGAGGTAACGAAAAAATCAGATGGACCGAATGAAGATGAAGAGTCAAGTGTGTCAGGCAAATCCCATTTAATCCCCTTTTTAGTAGCTGCTACTTCCTTCTCATAGTTTTCCTTAGCATCATCTGAACTTGGAATTGTAAGAAGCTTCTCAAAAGCCTTAACCAAGGTCATCACTTTTCCAGAATCAGGTTGAGGCGCGTCCTCTGTTGCCTCTTCCGACAACTTATCCCTCCTTCTCTTAACGCCCATTTCACCGATCACCTTGTGTGCATTGAGCTCCAGATTAATCGAGCCATTGATCGATACAAAATTATCTGCTTTAGCCTCGTCTCCATAGCTATGAGCACCAACGATTTCTCCAATAACGCCTTTGCTGTTCTTCTCTTCCTCATCTTTACTCCCGATCTCAGCTTCAACGCGCATCTTCACCTCCTCCAGAACACTCTCCTCGTCATCAACTCCGCGGCGACTTGTGAAAAACTCCTCGTGTGAAGCCCTGAGAGACTCATAAGCAACGCACAAACACTTCTGCACCCCGCCCTTTCCGCACTTACAAGCCACCGGCGCCGAGTTCGCATCCTCTCTCTTCGAATTCCGCTTCGCCACCACGAACTTCCTCTGCCGAATCTTCTTCTGCGGCGAAGGCGAAGCCACCGGATTGAGGCTTTCCGAAGCCAATTTCTGAGCTTTCTTTGCTGATTTGGTGATCGATGGAGACCTTGCGACCTTCAAGCCCGGGCTTGAAACATTTGGATCGACATTTTCAGAATTTCTGGAGCAATGGGAGAGACCTCTGGTGGATTTGCCGTCGGACTCCATTGAATTAGCCGGAAAACTTCGATCCAGATAGGATTGTAAAGAGAAGGAGATTCAATATCTGAATTTTTTTTGAAAGCCAGATTCAATATCTGATTATTGATAAGGAAAACAGCTGAGAGAAAATGGAAGCTGCGGCAAGTGTAACGGCTAGTTCCCTGATGAGCTTGCTCTCTCGCTCCATCTTACCGTTTAATTTTATGATAATTAATAACACTTTTCTTTAATTATTATTTTTATTTAATTTGATATCTCAACTCTTTGATAGACCAAAATCGAGTTTAAATGATGGGACAATGGCATTTTTTCCCCCTAAGTTATATACTTATAGCACTTTTTTTTCTCAATTATTTATGTAAGCACATTAGCCCCCTCAATTATTTTAAAAGTGGTGGTTTTTTCTCCTGATATATTAAATTGATATTTCTACCCTTAAAGTAAACATTTTATTTATTTTACTTCTTCAACAAATTATTGTGTATATGTAGCAATGACCACGGTTTGGTTCGAACTGAACCGGACACTATAGCAATCGAACTAAAAGTTTTCGGTTATGATTCAGATCTAGAATCCAATATTTAGATTTCAATTTATTAAATTTATGAACCAAGAAAACTGGATCATGAACCGTGAACCGGCGGTTCCGGATCCGGTTCGCGATTTTGAACCGTCTTTATTTTAAATTTTATTTTAAAATAGTCTAAATTCAACAATAAATGTATTTTATTTTTTCAGTTCGGAACATGAACCGACCATTTCGATTTGCGATTTTAATAAACTCTAAGTATCGCGTTTTGATTCTAAATTGTAATTGGAATATTTTGGTTTGGTTGCTATAGTATCTGTTTGGTTTGAACCAAATTATAGTAATAATTTGTTGGAGAAGAAAAATAAATAAAATATTTATTTTAAGGGTAAATATGTCCATTAAACATTTTAGGGGGGAAAAGAGCCACTTAAATAATTCAGGGGGGAAAAGTACTATAAGTATATAATTCAGGGGAAAAAAGTGTCATTTTCCCTTAAATGATTGATATATTCTTATTTTATACGGAGTGTCAAAGACATGAAGGCATTCTAAAAATAGCAGTTGAATAATAGTTAACTATTAGCGAATTATATTAACAATTTTAATGAATAAATTGTATTAAAAGTTTCATATAAAAATGTTTAGTACAAGTTAGTTGTTTAATATTAGCAGTTAACATATAAAATGATTTATACATAATAATAACAATAATAATAATAATAATTTTTAAAAAGAAAAAGAAATGAGCAAGTCACTTTTTTTTTTTTTTTTTTTAAATCAGTAGAAAAAGTGGAGAAGGCTCCTCAATATTTTGTGGGACATCGAATGAATTAACAATGAGCATATTCAAACTACTGATAGCTAAATAAGGTCAAAGAGTAACTAAACCACATAAGGGTGCGTTTGGTTCACGGAATATTGAATTATCCTACGGGGACGTTTGGTTCAGGTTATATAAGATAACCAAAGTTATATTTGTTTGGTAATATAAGATTTCCATGTTTGGTTCAGATTATGTAACTTTTTCATGGGATGTCAGATAACCTCCGCATTTAAGTTTTTAGCTATTGGAAAGGAATGTGAGATACCGTCCAATTTCTTAGGTAATCTCACATTCCCTTGTCTTATTACTAATGTTGCGCTTTGTATTTTCTAATCAATTTATCTTATTACTATTGTCTTATTTACATATCTTAGTTTTAAACCAAACACATGAATCTAACATTCTTAGTAATATAACATTCATAACAATCTAACATTTTCTAAGGTAATTTAACATTTCGTGAACCAAACGCTCAATAGAAGTTTAATTTGACACTTTAAAGTTATCCCGCCAACCACTATGACCAATTCCGCTATGGCCTACGGTAAATATACTTGAGTTATATGTAAACAATGTTCAAATCTCACAAGTCTTATATTTGTAATTAAGGGCATTATTATTGTTTGGTTGAGTGTTGTCCCGTAGATGTCACTCAATATAATGAATGGGGACGTTGTCTTTCATTTGAAGCGTTACTTTCTTTGTGGTTAGTGCCAATTAGTACCTAACTGATTTAAATGTTATAATATATATATATATATATATATATATATATATATATATATATATATATATAGTCATATGGTTACGCATCATTAGATAGGCATAAATGCATCACAAAGTGTCCGAAAATGTACTATTATGTATGGACCGTATGGTGCATTTGTTTTTGGAGTGTGGTATATTTGTGCATTTCATTCTGATACATTTTTGAATACTATGTGATGCATATATACATACCTACTGGTGCAATTTGCACCGGGCGCATGGAAGTTATGTCCTTATTTGAACCGGTATAAATATGTGTGTATGTATGTACAGAGGCGGAGCTACATTGAGGCAGTGGGGGCAGCTACCCCCACGCCCTCCCCTCACCCCCTATATATAGTACCCTTGTGTGTATATATATGTATAGTACATGATTAGAGGTACATATATATAGTGAGAAGTATAATTTATAATGTGTTTTTTTATTTGAATCATTTTATCAAACTAATTGTGTTTCATATTTTGATATAAATATTTTTTTTATGAATTTTAATTTTACTCCCATATCCAACAAAATTTATGGCTATGCTTTTAAATTTTTTTTTTTAAATATTTTTAACTATCTCTTATGGATATATATATATATATATATATATATATATATATATATATATATATATATATATATATATAACATTAACATTTTAAAAAATGTAATTTTAAACATGAAAAAATTAATATTATTTGTAGACTTTACTTAATTTTTCATAACTTTAAAATTGCAATGTTAGTAATTGTTTGAACTTTGACCCGCCAACCCGCGTGGGGCGGGTTAGGGTTGCATGAATTTAGCCCAACCCACTTT